TAATCCATACAACTGCAGCAGTGGAGGACTATTATTCTGCTGCGTGATACTGCAGAAGAACTGATGATGGCACGGTTTGATCTTCGGCTGACCAATCAGCAGAAAGGGGCGTTTAAAAGGGGCCCACGTGTAGAAATCAAATATTCAAGCTGTTTATTCATTGTTCTACCCCTGAGCGAAAAACTAAAATTTAAGCTGAATTCTCATTTTTCGTTTTTTGGAGGAAAAAACGAAAAAGGAGCCGTTTTCTAATTTTTCTACTTTCAATATTAAATCAAAAAACGATTGATCGAATGATACACGGATTTGTTACTTCCCTCAATCATGATTTGTGGTTGTAAATATTTTTGTCATTAAAATGCTTTAATTGTAGTATTTTGAGTTGTAATTTCTCCTGTTCTACAGATATAATATGATTGATGTAGCCTAACAAGCCCTCAAGCAGTGCGGGATCATTGTCCTTTGCTTTCCTGACAAAAGTAGCTTGCTGGTCATTAAAATAGGAGTTTTACACAAGTGATTTTGACTTTATCATAGTTTTTGTTCTTGTTTGCAGGTACTTTTTCAGTATAGACGATAATCACTAATGTGAAGATTCTCTCTGTTGTACAGTGCAATGTTTTTGAAAGAATGCTCACCAAGTCTGTATTTATTTGATCAAAAATACACTAATAATATAAAAAAAGTAAAATGTAGTTGTCCTCAGTACAGATACTTTCATAACTAAGAGTTAACTTTAATGCATTGTTTGTAGTTATATTTGATTTATGCATTTTATTTCATATTACGTGTACAGATAAAGTTGGTTTGCCAAATTCTAATAATAGGTTACACTGCAACATTTAGTCTTTACAAGAATTGACAACAAAGTTAGAGTAGTGACTATTAGAGTTTTATCAGAACATGAGTCACAATTCCCCAGGATCGTTTTGTTAAACATCTGTGGTTTGTGGGTGGAAAGAAACGCTCACTTGTGGTTAATGCAGAGGTCTATAAAAAAGAGCTTCTCGGGCTTCTGAAGATCACCGAGGTTCGGATTCTGAGAGCTTCGTCTTCAGGCTGGTTAGAGATCATCTGCTAAGATGCTCCGCAACATCTTTCTTGTCAGCTTGCTCGTATATGCAGGTAAAATAATCACTAATTCAGTTCTAAAATGACTTGTATTCTGTGTTAGGATATAGTTACAGTATATGTTTTATGCTTGAATGATTTGTTTTACCATTAATCATTGTCCATTTATTTGTAGTCTGTGCAGTTCATTGGGAGATTCGTGAGGTGGACTCTGCTGAGGACCAAGATGAAGAGATCTTTGTAATGACAATAGTTTGTTAAATAAGTGCATGCTTTAAATTAATGACCATATGCAAAGGATTGATGCACATATAACCTTATGATGGATCTGCTCAACAACGCTCAGTGCTTTAATTTTTTGTAATAATTGTAGTATGTGTGGTATTTTGAGATGTAATTTCTCCTGTTTTTCAGATATAATATGGTTGATGTAGCCTAACAAACCCTTAAGCGGTGCCAGATCATTGACTTGTGCGGTCCTGACATATTTGTTTCATATTGTGATGTTTTTCAGGCTGATGATGAAATGATGAAACAGTCATCTGTTGAGTGCTCATTATGCAAATCCATTATGAAGAGGGTAAAAAAGACAATCTCGTCTAACGCAACGCCGGTGGGTGTCACGATTAATGTCACATCATTGAACTGACCGTGCATCTTTGACTAAATCCATCATTTTCCTCAGGATGAAATCAAAACCAAGCTGAACAACACCTGTGAGAAAATCAGGTTGCTGAGAGTTCAGTGCAAGCACTTTGTTCAGAAGTATCTGCACGATCTGATTGATGAGCTGATGACCGATGATGGGCCAAAAACCATCTGTACTAAAATTCATATCTGCAAGTAGGTACACAAAAATACCCGCTCCAGAAGTTTATAATCATGTCCTTTTTTCCACAGTAATATGGTGATACATTATTTAAATAAGGAGATTTTTAATAACTTTTTTGTTTTGTTTGTTCCAGGCCAGAATCACCCATAAAGGAGATTATTTTTGTACGTGATCAAGCTAATGACAATTTCTGAATGAGAATAAATGATTACTGTGAAAGCATTACAGTGAGAACATAATAAAATATATGAATAAAACGATCAATTATCTGTTTTCTTTTATTTTTTTCCTAATTAAGTTAAATCAAACGTATTTTAAAAAATTTTAATAAAACAGACAGCAGCTCAACAGCAAAAATAAACTAAATAAATAATAATAATAATTTTTACCAGATCCATTTCATACTAGTCAATTGCTTTGTCAGTGAGGTCTAAAAAAAAACCTAATTTTCTTTCTAACAAGCTCGTGTTTCCAACAATAACTGCAGATTCTTTTAGATAAGAGCATTGCAATGAAATTAATCAAATTAAACTTAAAAGTATATGTTTACATCATGAGTCAACTATGTTGCTTTCCGAATAAATATTATTCAGTCCACTGTGATTATGACAGATGTGCATGAGAGATTTGCATGAGAGACGTAGTTGCAGATAAATGAAGGGTTCTTGTGGCTAACCAGGAGATATCTGCTTTATCTAGGACAGAGTTCCTATCACAGTCATATTATGGAAAGCCGGTTTAACATTTAATCTATAAAAATTAGATACTAGTGCGGTTTATAGATTAAATGTTAAAACGGCTTGCCATAGTCATATACTATCACACCGTTTAAAGTTTTAGTGATGCCACTTCTTGTATGCCTTTGCTGAGAGAAAAATATAATTTCACGCTTTTATGAGCCCTTATAAAATCACTTGTAAAACATTTACTATAACATACAAATGCAATATTTTAGATTTAAATGTTGCTTGCAAGAAAAAAACGAGTCAATTATATTAGTTATAAACTATTTTTAAAACATTTTTTAAAGAAACAAATACTTTTATTCAGCAAGGATGCATTAAGTTGATCAAAAGTGACAATAAAGACATTTATAATATTACAAAAGATTTATATTTCAAATAAATGCTATTTTTAAATTTTCTATTCATCAAAGAATCCTGAAAGAAAATATATCATGGTTTCCTCAAAAATACTAACTGTTTAACTCAACGTTGATAATAATAAGAATGTTTCTTAAGCAGCAAATTAGCATATTAGAATGATTTCTGAAGGATCATGTGACACTGAAGACTGGAGTAATGATGCTGAAAATTCAGCTTTGCATCACAGGAATAAATTACATTTTTTATTCAGGTAACAGGTATTTTAAAAACAGGTATTTTAAACGGTAATAATATTTGACAATATTACTGTTTATATTGTATTATTAATCAAACAAATGCAGCCTTGGTGAACAGAAGAGACTTCTTCCAAACACATTAGAAATCTTACTGACACCAAACTTTTGAACAGTGGTGTATGCCTAATTTTCAATGGATGTCAATTGAGGAAGATGCTCTTTCCAGCCAAAGCATGTAGTTTACAACTACAACCAGCAGGGGCCAACTAAACAATTCTAACCAGCTCAACCTTGAACCTTGACCAGCACAATCCTGACAATTAAAACAACCCTATAAATTGCTCTCTGGGCACTGAACTAGAAAAGGTTAAATGTTGAGAGGGTTTTTTCCCCAGATACCAGGTAAGGCTGAGTAAGTACCAGATAAAATTATGCAACCACATTGCCACACCTGACCACTACACAGTTTCAGGAGAAAAACTAAACAAACTTAAGTATGACTGATTACCTACAAGGCACCATCTAATGAGGCCATGAGGCCATCTAACATGAGTGTGGGTATCTAGACCCAACAGTTCCCACATTCACACATTCATCATCAGTCATTTAGTTTTAGCACCAAAATCTCCCCTAATACTTCTCTGAGAAAATAATCAAGTGCTGAATAACACTCTAAAGAGAAAGGAAAAAATGAAATCGCATCATATGACCCCTTTAAATGAACAATTATTTAGCCATTGTATGGATGCCATTAAAATAGCCATTATTGATGCACAGTCATTGACATTGTTTTCATTTTACTTTAGTTGTGATTGGTTAGTTGTGATCTTTAGCTTAATTTAACATAATATTGCACTTTATATTACTATTGTGATGCATGCTTTTATTTGTTCACAGAAAATGAGTCTGACAAAATAAAAATGATCTTAATGATTTCATGATGGTGTTGGTATACACACACACACACACACACACACACACAGGGTGCGCATACGTTTTTCAGTCTGGTTCTCTTGAGAGCACCTGGAGATTTGGTTTGCATATACAGGTGATGGCGACAAAGAGGCAAAACTTATGGACTGCAGCTTTAAATATAACTCTAAAAATAAAATAATTAATAGTAGTGATAATGGTATTGTTAAACTGTATTTATTTTGTATTTTTAAACAATTTTGGCGGGTTGCCTCCAAGTAAGCACCCCTCCTAAAAATGACTTGTAAACTCAATGGCACACAAAAAACCATTTGACTTTCAACTGTGATCAGCTGTGCTCATTTTGATTAACGCAGCATGAAAAGAGATTTCGTGGAGCATTTCAGTCCTTGGTAGTGCAACTGAAGCAAACAATCAACTACGAGTGGCAAGGAACTGTCAAAAGATCTCCGGGATAAAGTTGTGGATAGGCACAAGTCAGGAGATGGATACAAATTTTTTTCGCACTGATTGCACACAGCACTGATTGCACACAGCACTGATTGCACACAGCACTGATTGCACACAGCACTGATTGCACACAGCTGTTTCATATCACTCACTCACTATTTAACACTCCATCTCACTCCTTCTTACTGCCGAGTATTGTATGCGCTTATCGCCAGCAGTGATAGCTACTCTACAGAGCCCTCTTTAGCTTCCTAGCCCAGCCCAGCCTAGTCTTGCCTTGTCTGTTTTCTCGGTTTTTGATCTGTGCCTGTTTTCCTGGATTTATCCCTTTAGTCTCACCCTTGTGATCCGGTTCGCCTATCGTTGACCTTCGCTAGCACTAGGATTATTCTAGTGTCTTGTCCGCCATATACCTGTTTGCCACCGTTCGACCCTGCCTGTGTTTCTGACCTCCTCTGATGTTAATAAAGCTTGCACATGGATCCGCACGTCTCACGTCTCGTCAGCCCCGTAACAGTCTTATAATCAGGGTCGACTTATATTCGGGCCAATACGGGTAGTTCAAAGGAAATGATGACTGATTGGCTAAAGCCTTTAAAGTCACTAAAAATGCACAAGAAGAGATGTGTGGAGGGGTTAGGGTAGTATCAGTGTATGTCTGTGGGTTTGTCAAACAGCGCTGTTTAGATGTCTGTTGTTGTGGCAGAAGTGTGAACATTTTTTGCATTGTGACTAGGGTTGTGTAGTTGTAGGTAGTAGTGTTATAATAGTATAATAGCAGAATTTATATAGCTCTGTGGTTGGAACCTAGAATGTTTCTTATTCAGATTCGGTTTTATTAAAAAAACAAAAAAAAACTATAAAAAAAACAAAACCTAATGCATGTGAATTCTTCCAAATTCTGTACAAAAATACTCCGGTTTCCTGCAAAATATTACTTCAATGGCGCATCCAGTGTAGTTCAATTACAAATGATTCTAATGAGTCGGTTCTTTTTAGTCCGTCAAAAACAAAACAAAAATGTCACACGTATGTTCTATGGATTGTTTGATTTTTGTCTTCAGTGCCTTGCTTGACCTAGTTTCCCAGTGCGTGCGTGTGATTATTGTATTCAGTTCACCTCTTGTCTATTAATTAGCCCATTAGTCTTCATTTGGTTTAGTACTTATATTCCCATGTTTCTTGAGTTCAGTGTCCTGTCTAACGTCGTGTTGGATGTGTTGCCAACCTGTTTCTCTGTATTGCTTGTGTAAGTTGGAGTTTTCTTAATTTCGTCTTCATGAGCTCTGATTAGCAACATTGTGTGACATAAAGCAAAACAAAACCTAATGCATGTGAATTCTTCCAAATTCTGTACAAAAATACTCCGGTTTCCTGCAAAATATTACTTCAATGGCGCATCCAGTGTAGTTCAATTACAAATGATTCTAATGAGTCGGTTCTTTTTAGTCCGTCAAAAACAAAACAAAAATGTCACACGTATGTTCTATGGATTGTTTGATTTTTGTCTTCAGTGCCTTGCTTGACCTAGTTTCCCAGTGCGTGCGTGTGATTATTGTATTCAGTTCACCTCTTGTCTTAATTAGCCCATTAGTCTTGATTTGGTTTAGTACTTATATTCCCATGTTTCTTGAGTTCAGTGTCCTGTCTAACGTCGTGTTGGATGTGTTGCCAACCTGTTTCTCTGTATTGCTTGTGTAAGTTGGAGTTTTCTTAATTTCGTCTTCATGAGCTCTGATTAGCAACATTGTGTGACATAAAGCACGTACAGTGTTTTCCGATTACAGAATGAAAGACTCTAAAGGTGATGATACATGGGGCAACTTTTTGAGCTATGTAATGACTAATGTGTGGGTAATTTATGAGAAACCACAACTAACAACCTAGACATTTTGTATTAAGTTTTTTATAAATGCAAATGAAATGAAACTTTGTTTAGCACTGTTGTATAGTTAATGCCAATTATTGGATTTCATTAGTATAGTTTAGTTCAAAGAGTTACACAGTTTTGGGTGGGGTGCAAACTGCCTCTCTTTTGAGAAATGAGAAGATATGGTGTAGAATTTCTCTGAGTACTCTTAAGGGTTTGCTCATTTCACCATTGATTCAAAAGGAGCATTTCTGAATTTGCATTTCACAATGTCACATCAATTCATTAAAGACTTTTAAAATGATGACAGTTTGAGAATTAGAAACGAGGAAGCAGTTCTTGATTCTATTCTGAACAGCTCACCGTGTGGTATGGTGTGAAAACCATCACACACCCTGCAATATGCAAGTTAAAGAAACACTCTCTTCTTGAAAGTCAAGGCAAATAGAAAAGAGTGCATGATAAAGATTTATCATTAATCTCAAATAACCAGCTAGAGAAGGCTTTATTCTTTGAGGTTGCAGTGGCATAAATGAGTCCCAAGGGGGTGGCATTAGGGCAACCATTTTCAAATGCAATATTTCAAACAATATTTTTAT